ACGGCACCCAGGGTGGAAGGCTCATCTGGACATCTGTCACCCTGATGCACTGGGTGGCAGATATACGTATTGGGAGTGAGACATCGTGTGTCATCTAAACAAACCTTCAGAGATATGTTTTGGACTTTATGTACATCCAGGGCCTAAAATTAACACTCGCCAAGCGCCAAATGCCAGTAAAAATCAGCGCTGGCGAGTATATGTAACAGTGTCAGTCGCCAGTTAGCGGGTACAACTTTTACGAATTGTACCGATGCAATGAAGTAAAAACAACAGCCAGTTTTATGGAAGAGATTCGCTGTTTCTGACATAAGCGAAATAAAATAATCTTTTCCGAAAACAAAATCATCGTGATTAGCTGTTCTGTCATAAGCGACAAGAGCGAATCAAATAATAGGATACAAACGGGCTGATAAGGTCAGAGCAGTGTGATGGCCAGCTTGTCCCTAGACACGGTTCTAATAACTTTTACCTGAGAAGATTTTGCTGCTTCATTTCGGAAGATTAACTTCTCGCTTCTTTATTCTTCTACCTTGAGAATGTGGGACACATACCTGGGGTTACGCCGCCTAAACGGTGCAGTGAAGTATAGTTTGAAAGGCTGCGCGTTCGGCTGTACGTATACGCTGAGCCGCTTCAGACAGCTCACCAGTAGCGCTTCAACGCACGAAAACACACAATTATGTCAAAATGCGCGGTTTTGGCGAGTTACGTTGTAAACGTAGTCTTAAATGAGTTATAAAGTCTTAAATGACAGTAAAGAGTTGGGAGAAAATCGGATGTGTGTCAGATCCGCGTCATATATGCATCAGGTTTTTAAAGAGACAGCGCTGAAGTCTGTCAGTTGATGTAAATCAAAGAACAAAAGAAAAAGAGAAATCCTTAGACTGTTCTAGTCGCTGATTAACTTTTAAAAGATTAAAATGCACCAGCTGGACAAATTAAAAATATTGTAAAAATGTTTAGTCATTGTAGTAGTAGGCAAATAACTGCCTGGTTTTGCAAAAAGAGTTTCATGGCCGGTAAAAAAAAGTTTGGCCGGTAAATTTTATTATGTCACCGGCCATTGGCAGGTGTGGCAAAAAGTTAGTTTTAGGCCCTGTGTAAATCTATCTGTTAAGATTCTACATGTTTTTCCATGATTTAACCAATCAGAATAATTTTTACCATAGTTCTGTTGGAGTATACTGCTGTATTGAGAATGTACGCAGAGCGGCCTACGAACTCGCAAGTATTGAAGTTGACTTCTGCTGATGAAACTGCAAACTATTTTCTTCAATTGATTGCATCTATGACTCCTGGTCTTAAAGGGGTCATATGATGCTGCTAAAAAGAACATTATTTTGTGTATTTGGTGTAATGAAATGTGTTTATGCGGTTTAAAGTAAAAAAAAAAAAAACATTATTTTCCACATACTGTACATTACTGTTTCTCCTCTATACAGTGAGAATAAAAGTTACGCCTTCTTTCTCTGCGTGAACATTTGAGGCGTTATGCAAATGTTCCCAGATCGTGACGTAGGTATGTGGGGGCGTGTTAGAACGAGCCGTTTTAGGTAGGCGTGGTTAACTCTTAACTTTTATAAAGAATATCTCTTTGGTTTTGAGACTTTAGTGTTTGCAACTTTACAGATCTTCTTTATGCACCAAGAGCTTGTAACACTCCAAAGAGAAAGGAAAATTTTAAATCACATCATATGACCCCTTTAATTCATCTTACCTGGTCCTTGGGTCTTAAACTGTATATCCCCTACACTTGATATGCATCTTGGAATGCAAATTTCTTTTTTTTTTATATTGACAGAAAAATTTGAGACTGAAACATTGCATTGAGATTGTAAGTGACATTTCTATCAAGTTTAATATAACATCCAATTTACACGTCAAATGAAAAACAAGTTTATCCAGTCACTAAGACATCAGAAACAACTCAAAATGGTTTTAGTTTTTTTTCCAAACAGGAATGCATATACAGATGCCAAATCAAAACACTGGATCAAATACAGTCAAAAACATTTGACCAGTTTGAATGCCTTGTAACATATTACTTCTATTGAAATACATACAGCAAAACAAATAACTAAATATTAATATGCAAGACATCTGTGATATATCTATTTTTAATTTAAGCCAATAAGTTGCATGTTCAGCAGCTACAACAAAGGAAAAAGTGCAATATAATGTAATTCAGCTGGTGTTGAAAGTATACAGGTATTATTTATTCACTTGGACCAGTCCTTGATAGTTTGGCAACCATTGTATGAAAAACTGAGGTCTTTTTTAGGTATACTCCTTCCAAGTGGTACTCAAAATCTTTACTGGGCATCTTCAATTGTTGTACCCATAATATCGCTTGAGCACATTGCTTGAAAAAGTTTATGTACAGCTCACGGAGCTAATGATAGAGCATTTGTTATGATAAAGCTTTTGCTGGATCTTCAAATGAATTAGTTGTCCTCGTTTACACCACTGCTGGTGTCTGAACTGAAGGTGCTGAGAACATCTCATCTCCTGTTCACCATTTACCAAGGATCTTCTCCCTCTGTTGACGTGTGATACAAGTGAGTAGAATTTTTGCTCCCATGAAATACTTCCCATGGAGACTCTGGGCCTGTTTGGCGATTTCCTCACATTCGAACTGCACGATGGCTTCCCCGACACCATTGCCCTGGCTGTCCACAAGCAATACGATTGCATCTTCACAGATGTTAAAGCGCATGAAAAAGTCTCTCACCTCTTCTTTCCTGACATATGCAGGAAAGTTGCGTGCATATACACATGACATGGTTAAATGTGCGTTTCCATAACGTGGTGGCCTCCAGACTTTAGCACATCTGTTTCTGCTGAGTATAGCAAATATTTCTTCTTTAGTTATGGGTGACACTTCAATGTTCGTTAAGCCAACAGTTGTACCATTCATGTTCAGAGCTGAGACATAGTCTTCTGCATGCTCAAAGGTAACGAACGCAGTGCTTGTCCTCTCTCCCCACTTGTTTAATAAATGTTTAATTCTATAGTTTGGGATTGCATAACATCCAAAAATCGTCTTGATCTCCGTCTTGGTTATATTCCTTGAAAGATTATTGACAATAACACAACGTTCCGTTTGAGGGGACGGAAAGTTTCGGCAGTATTTTTTTGGAGATCCAGGTGAGGGCTGTTCCTCTGCACTTCTTTTGGTTGAGAAACCTCTCATTGCATTTCTTTCTGTGTTAACTTCCCTTTGCTCTGAGAAAGTGTGAGGTTTGATGTTTTGCATGCAATTTTTGGATTGCTCGACAGCATCAGTCCACATCTTCTCATGGGCAAGTCTGACCTCAACATTGTATTCTTTGAATTTTCTGTGGCTGTATTTCAGCCCCTCCTCAGCATCTGCAAAACTGGCCAACTTCACCAGACAGCACCAGCCCAGTTGCAATCGAACTTTCGTGATGGCCTCCAACACTGAGAGTCCCAGTAGGAACTGGTAGATCTCTTGCTTGGCAACAGAGTCAGGAAATCCATAAAGCCGAAGGTAGCCTGGCTTACAGGAATTGAGGTTTTCTCCTTTGCTTTTCTGCTCCTTAGATGCCATGTCAGGAGTTAGATTATGCTGAGAATCTGTATTTGTTTGGTTGTCAGTTGAGGACCATTTATGTGTTTCTGGAACATTTTGGTTGAAATTTTCAGGCGTTTGGCATTGATCCACTTTGTCGTTTGAAGGCAGTCCTTGAATGGCAGTCATTAGACTAAGCAAAAGAGCTCTGTTGGTGTCAGGGGGGGATGATGGCACTATTTTAGTCTCCACTGCTGTGGACTTTGGTTTCTTTAATCTCGACTCCATTTTTCTCTTGAGCTCTGCCAGACTGCTAATATGTAATGAAACAGAAGAGCCTCTGAGGAGTTTTCCAGAGTAGCGCATGGCTAGTTGGCCTTCTCTCTCTGAATTAAAAATAATGAAAGCTTCTCCCATCTCGCCACCAGTGATATGAACACCACCCTCAGGTATGTGCAAGCCATGGAAAAATCTTCGGATGTCTTCAGATCCCGCCTCTGTGTTTAAACCTTGCAAACGCAGAACCACTATTGTCATGGTCAAATTCTTCTTACAAACCAATGGGATCTGTTACAAAGGCAAAAACCAAACTTTCAAATCAGTTTCTGAAATTTAAGTGTCACAATTAAAAAAAAATCCACTGTACAAACTGCTGTTTTCTCTTTGTTCAAAACTTTCATAGAGGACAAAAAATCCCCTTCTAGCAAAACAATCAATACGAATGCGTCCTCGGAGCCTTACTTACCGTTTGTTTTTCTCTTAAACGTATATCTCAATGCAAATGCTTCTCTGCACAATACTTTTTTTGTCAGAGAAACCACGCGGTAACCTGCAACCAGCACTGCTCAGGCGTCCGGCGGGAAACACTCAACTTCCTCTTGCAGAGACTTTTAAGAGCGCGCGCACGCTGCACGCACTCTGAGCGTAAACAGGAATAGGTACGTCATCTGCACCATGGCGACGGTGACGCTGAGAGCAATTGTGTGCAGTTTCTCCATCATATTCCTGTTAAAACCGAACGGTTTTTCCTGCCAGCAGTTTTCTATAACTTTTCAGCAGCCTACGGATTGTGGTGTGGAAAGTTATTTTGATATTTCGAGCTTGTCTTGTGTGAAATGCGGGCCGAATCAAGTCAACAGCAAATCAGGTACGCGAGCGCGTGCACGGATTAGTTTGCTTTGTTTTGACCAACCTAACCTGAAGATGATTGAAGCTGTACACTGAACAGCAGTCATTTACTGATATATTGTCATATTGGTTAATTGGTTAATTTAACATAGAGTATGCATCTTGCGAGAAAATCAGCTGCACGCTGGCTAATAAAATGTGCTGCATTTGCAGCTGCACATAACACCATACTAAACAAATACATGTTTAAAATGGATGTCATTATTAAAGATGGAACTTTTATAATATACTTAATTGTAAACCAGCTTGTATGTTTATGTGTATTTTTGCCATATAGGACTGGCATGTGAGTGTCAGACTGGTTTCAGGGTGCTGGTCAGTAATGGGGCGTCCATCACGTGCCAGCAGTGTCCTGATGCTAATCAGGTTCTGTATTGAATTTTGATTATAAATTTAAGCTCTCATATGTTGCTGTATTAATGATATTAAGAATACTAATACTATTGTACAATAATGTGATTACTCTCATTCATAGGGGGTCACCCAGGATGGGTATGGATGTATCCATTGTCCTGGAAGTGTAGGGGATAACGGCAAATGTCAGTGTCCTAAGGGTAGTGTGCTGGGTAAGTGCTTTTAATTTTAGTTGTATATAAATAAACATGATTCAAATGTAGGCTATTTTTTTTTCTCTACAATAATCACTCAAATATGCACCATTTGGGTAATTGGAACAGAATTGTTTGTCTGTATTGGTCAGTGGAGAGAGAATGGAATGGGAATCCTTTAAATGAAGCGCAATGTGAGGCGTGTAATGCAACAGAGCCTGCTTTTTCTGCCCCAGATATGACAGGCAACAGGTAATGCTGCCGTTCCCATCAATGCCACTGGATTTGTCATGTTGATCTTTGTGATTCATTTTGTTTGGATATGTGTATTTTTAGGTGTGTGAGATGTGAGGATTCCTTCATCAACTCATCTCAGTCTTGTGTTTGCGGGACTTCAAACATACAGGTGAGAATCTCAGATATTTGGTGCATTTGTTTACATTTACATTGGTCGGGCAAATGTATATTCCAAACTTTTGACCGGTAGTGTATGTATGTGTTTATGTGATGCATTGATAGTGATGATTGCATTGCTCTGTTTACAGGCAGGTGGGATGTGCTTCCCTCCAAACAGTCTGCCTGCGTCAGTTTCCTCAAATGTAATCTTTGGCCAACTGGTGAGAATTCAAAGTTAACATCATGAATTGTATTTGTGTACTTATGTTGACATGCTGGGGTTTGTTGTTTTAAAGTGGAATGTATTTGTGTTACACAGGCCCTTTCCGTCACATCGTTATGGTTTTCAAGCTTTATGTATTCTTCAGCAGCTGCCTGTTTGGTAAATTTCTACACAAATGCACAAATGCACATCTGTTTTAAATGTTTACATGTCATGCTGTGCTTCAAAACATATTTAAGTTTTGCTCATTTTGTTCTGTAGTTGTTCTCAAACCGGACAGCATGTCAGTCTCTGGGCAACATGTGTGTGATGAACATGCACTCCTCTAGCACCATCAACAATGATGCCTGTGGCCTCTACAACACAGTCTATAGAGCTGCTCAGGGCAGCAGCCAGGACATCTCCTACTGGTAACACACATACAAATACTATATAGTACTTCACTGTTGACTATTGGACCCCTTTAAATAATTTAATTAGCTCAGTGCAGATCTTAAAATTCTATTTTGCCATAATGATCAGCTGACTGTGCTTTATACCTGTCTTCAGAAGGGCAGCGGGGCCCTAGATTTGAACCCCAGGCTATTTGAAATAACCATAGGAGATAAATTGTATCTGTTATATAATTAAATACAGTGTGACTCATTCAAGATAAATTGCTTCCTGACTGAGAAGGGATGTGGGTAGACCTGATTTGATCTGATATTACATAATATTCTTAGGAAGTGTCTCCTGTCTATCTGTAAAGTATTTAAGTTCACAACTAATGGCCAGAAGACGCCAGTTTACTTGTATTTGTGACCATCATAGATCCTCAGCCTCATTTGTGACTCTAGGAGAACAAACCTGCCTTGGCTCTACTATGGAGACCAGCTTGGGTTGGCATCACGGATTCTACAGAATGAGCCACTTCCTGTTGGATTCAGCTTTAAAGGGACACAGAAGGTAAACAGTTTTGACATCTCAACATATTGTAAGCAGAAGCATACATGTAGTCATTTTCAGAAACCTTCCTCTCACTTTCAGAACACTAACATCGAGCTGCGAGCTGCAGTTTACTCAGTGCGTGGGGAGTTTCTGAGATGGGAGAGTGTCGGTGGAGGAAACCTCCAGGTAGGCAGGCATGATCAGTTTCTCTTCTGGGGTCAAATTCACAAATTATTCTTAAGAGTAAAATTATTCTTAGCTGCTATTTTCTTCTTATTTTCTAACTTAAGAATAAAGTTAAGAATTATTTTCTTAGTTAAAATCTTAACCAAAGTCTTAGCAATCCTCTTTTACACTTTGGAACGCTTCTGGCCATCAGCTCACATGCTCGTATTAACGCTACTAATTCAGCAGCTTGAGCAGAATTATAATCCAAAGCAAAAGCCTCTATTACTTCTCCAGTATCTAACACCACAGCATACTAGGGGTGGGCGATACGAGCTAAAATTCGTATCACGATATTTTATACTGTCCAGGCGATATCGATATTATATTGTGATATGAGGGAAAAAAAATACAGGCAAAACATTTTAACCTTATATAACTAGAAAAAGTGAGGGATTGGACATAGACCTGAAAATCTTTTTTTTTTTTTTGTGCCATTGTTTTTCTCAAAAAGTGCAAACATGCAACTTGAGGTAGGCCTGTATGAATTAAATTAAATTAAATATTGTGTGTTTGAGTAGGACAGTGGTTCCCAAACTTTTTCTGCCGGGCCCCCCTTTTGTAGAGAAAAATATTTTCAAGAACCCCCACCCCCAACCCCTCTTTTTTTTTTTTTTTTGGAAAGTCTCTTATGCTCACCAAGGCTACATTTATTTATTAAAAAATACAGTAAACACTGTAATATTGTCAATTTAAATTATCTATTTGAATGTTTTAACATATAGGCTACTGTATTCCTGTGATCAAAGCTGAATTTTCAGCAGCCATTCATTACTCCAGTCTTCAGTGTCACATGATCCTTCAGAAATCATTCTAATATGCTGATTTGCTGCTCAGTAACCATTTCTGATTATTATCAATGTTGTAAACATTTGTGCTGCTTCATATTTTTGAGGAAATTTATTTTTTCACGATTCTCTTATGAATATTTGAAATGGTCCTTTGTGTCAGAGCGCTGGACTTCGTCAGAAATAGAAAGGGACATCAGTTTACGGTCATGGATTTGTCTCGCGTCGTATCCACAGCAGAGAACATCACTGGGTTCTATTTGCTTTTGTCAAATCGCGCCGCTCGCGTCTGGTGTAGACCGTTTTTATACAGTCTATGGTGTAGACACATTGTTTTGGTATTTTAATCTTAAGTATATTCATAATCTGCTTCACGTTTACCTGGCACTGGAAGTCCTTTCACAGACTTGTAACTTTCATGCTTAGAGCAGAACCATGCATCGTTCATTTATATTTCTAATGCTACAACTGATAACGGAGCGCTCAAGCGGGTACTGCGAGTTGAGGTAATTAAAATATGTCAAATTAATATTTTGCGCTCAATTATTTACTTATCAGGCAAGTGGCCGCTAGGCATGGGCCAGTATGAGATTTTGACGGTATGATAACCTTAAGCAAAAATATCACGGTATTGTCGTTACAGCTCTAAAATGTGTTATTTTTAAATGACTGGGTAAAAAAAAAAAAAAAAACTTTTTCCGCTGAACACAATATATTTTGTTTTTGAGCAACATACAGAATATTATGAACAATTGAATTTGTTTATTAATCTTTTTTTTTTTTTTTTTCCTAAAAATAAAAAAAATAAAGACTGACATCTTTATTTAACCTAAATCTGTAATTACAGTTAATTTTATTTAATACAGTTATATAATTCATATACATATCATTTATATAATTTCATATAATTTAGTTATATAATTTCATATACATAATTTGATTTAATAATAACCCAATTTGAAGTGAGATGCAGATTCACTCTCTGACAGCAGGAGGTGCTTCTGGGACACCACAGACGGCGTTTGCTTGATTACCGCTGTAAACAAAGCAGCACTGCACTGAAACACTGCTTTAATAGGAACTATACAAAGACGAGATGAAAAGAAAATACCACGTAAACTTTACTGAAGACAGTCAGTTCCCCTCAGAAACATATTCATATAAACCCCCATATCAATATTGAGGATTTTCTTCCAATAGTTCGTGCAGTATTTTTCTCTGTGCGTCCGTCTTCAACGTCTCTGGCCTGTGTTAACGGGCGTTTACAGACGTCATATTTTCACATAAATGACATTTTGGAAAACGATTGCATTGCAACGCAGTTTGTGCAAGTCCAGAACATCCAGATCGCAGTATACCTTGAAACCGGTAATCGGCCCATGCCTAGTGGCCACATGATAAGCGGTAAAATTATGCAGTTTAGTCTTTATCACCCTGCAGAGGTTTTTTTTTCAAAATAATCTGCTGACTGTACACTATCCCTCAGCCTTGCCGCGACCCCCAGTTTGGGAACCACTGGAGCAGGCGATTTGTGCTCAATTAATTTGGTCTGTTACGATGCTCTGTGTTTGATTACTAATGCCTGTGTAGTACAGCGTTGCACACAGAGGACAAAAACGTTCAGCCTCGACTCTTTATCGTCATTTGTGTTAAAATTTGCAAAGCATACCAAATTGAACAAAACAATATAAATGCAGAATTGGAATTCATGAATATATAACGGTATCCACGGTATAGCAAAATCCATATCATGGAACAACATAATACCGGTAGTCACTTTCATACCGGTATAGCGCCCACCCCTACAGCATACCCACAAAGGTAGACACCATCAAAAGGTTTTGAGCATGAACCATCAACATATATGTGTTCCGCCCATCCATCCATTTTCAATTCCAAAAGATCGGCCCTGGAAGAAGTAGTAGTTAGTTCAATAATAAAATCATGATCTGTGGTGTGATTTGCCATGTCAGCCATGCCCAAAACACCTAATAGAGCAGGGTTAATGGTTGCTGTTGGTTGGATGGTAAGATTTTTGGTGGCCAGCAGGATTGCCTCCTAACCCGAGCGCCGTTACGCTGTCATGTGTTGTGCCTGCATATTATGTCGGATAGCTTCTACTTGGTGTGACGTGTACAGTGTGACAGAACTATTTTCTCCACCATCTGTACAATCAGAGCAGCTGCAGCCACAGCATGAAGGCATGCTGGCATACCTGAAGCTACATTGTCTAGTTTCTTAGATAGGTATGCTACTGGTCTATAAGTGGGACCATTTTGCTGCAACAGGACGCCAATGGCCACTACCTCCGTCTCCTGGGCGTGCAGGTGGAACACCTTTCTATAGTCAGGCAGGCCAAGGGCTGGAGCCGTAGTGATGGCTTGCTTCAGTGCATTGAAGTGTACTTCAGCCTCATCAGTCCAGTGTAATGGTGTATTAGGCAAAGCTTTGTGATCAATCAAGTTTCTCAGGTGCCTGTCATGAATAGCACAGTCAGGTACCCAGGATCTGCAGTAGTTCACTAGTTCCAGAAAGCTTTGGAGCTGCTGCACAGTTTGTGGGGACTTGATTTTCCTAATCATCTGGACCCTGTCTGTTGAAATCGCCCGCAGACCTGGCATTATTATGTGTCCCAGGTACGTCACGTTAGGCTTGGACCCACTGGAGCTTCTCTTTAGTGGCTTTGAATCTGGCCTGCGCAAGCACGTTGCAGACGATGACAGAGGCTTTTTCACAGTCTTTTTTTTCTCTGCTGAGACCATGATGTCATCTGCGTACTGGAGTACACAGACAGTGGAGGGCAAGTCCATCATTTTGGCTAGTGTCCTCTGGACTGCTGCTGAGAAAACTGCGGGGGAGTCCACGTAGCCCTGTGCAAGGCGCGTCAACTGATATTGTTGTCCTTTGAAAGTAAAAGCTAAGAGTGGCTGAGTGTCTGGATGTACAGGTATGGAGAAAAAGGCTGCACAAAGATCAATGACAGAGAAGTACTTATGCGTACATGGTATAGAATTGATGACAATTGGAACATCTGGCACAATGGTTGCTAATGGTGTTATTAATTGATTTATGGCCCTTAAATCCTGGGTCGAACGGCATGTTTTCTCTTCTGCCTTGGCCACAGGATTTATGGGCGTGTTGTATGGCGAATGTGTTGGTACAAGAACACCCTGCCGGACAAAATTGTCAATCAAAGGTTTAATACCATCTTCCTTAGCCTTAGATAATGGTTATTGTTTGATGTAGACTGGTCTTAAGCTTTGCTTTATAAGGTTCCATATCTATGAAACCTGTGTCATCCTTGTATTGTGACCACAATAATGGGTTAACCATGGTTTCCATCATTCGTGGTGGGTCAGGCTTGTGTGTGATTGGCTGTGGTTCACTGGGTTCTTCCCATGTAGGGAAAGGATTTACTGAAGCTTGCAGGCTGGATAGGAAGAAAAGCACTACCTGTCTATCAGTAACTTTGATGTCCATATTCAATTTATGCATCATACCTCGCCCCAATAAATTGTGTAGCCCCTGGTATGATTGTAAATTTATGAAAAAATGTTTGAATCCAGGAGCTCTTACTTCCAAAGGGGGCGTCAAAGGGCACTCAATGTCAGTTCTGAAATTCCCAGAGTTAATTACCTGATTAGAAAGAGGACCCTCATAATGATTAGAGGTCACTGAAGACCTCTCTGCTCCTGTATCAAGGAGAAACGTTTGTGGTTGACCATGTACATTCAATGTGAAATGTAAATCTTCACCGTGATTTGAGAAAGTGAGGGTCATCATAGATAAATCGGAACTGACATCACTCTGTAGGCATCCCTATTCTTGCTTAGTGTGCCATGTAGTAGAACAGGGGTAGGCAATGTCGGTCCTGGAGTGCCGATGTCCTGCAGAGTTTAGCTCAAACCCTGAAAAAAAAAACGAAAAAAAAAAAAAAAATTCCAAACAGGTTTCCAGAAGTCTCCGAATAAATCTAAAAATGGCATCTTTCTCTACATATTAAAATGGGATAGGACATCGGCACTCCAGGACTGACGTTGCCTACCCCTGTAGTAGGATATATGGGGCCTGATTGCTGCTTCCTGTTTTCTTGCCGCTGTGGCTGCACACATAGTTTTCTCTGTATCTGACCTCTTAGTGCCCTACAATCACGCCTCGCATGTCCCTTTCCCT